ACCTGCCTGCCCTTTGGCCAGGACTGGACAACATACGGCCCGCGGGCCTACAGTCAGTCTTACGCCCTACCTGCCTGCCCTTTGGCCAGGACTGGACAACATACGGCCCGCGGGCCTACAGTCAGTCTTACGCCCTACCTGCCTGCCCTTTGGCCAGGACTGCACAACATACGGCCCGCGGGCCTACAGTCAGTCTTACGCCCTACCTGCCTGCCCTTTGGCCAGGACTGCACAACATACGGCCCGCGGGCCTACAGTCAGTCTTACGCCCTACCTGCCTGCCCTTTGGCCAGGACTGCACAACATACGGCCCGCGGGCCTACAGTCAGTCTTACGCCCTACCTGCCTGCCCTTTGGCCAGGACTGCACAACATACGGCCCGCGGGCCTACAGTCAGTCTTACGCCCTACCTGCCTGCCCTTTGGCCAGGACTGCACAACATACGGCCCGCGGGCCTACAGTCAGTCTTACGCCCTACCTGCCTGCCCTTTGGCCAGGACTGCACAACATACGGCCCGCGGGCCTACAGTCAGTCTTACGCCCTACCTGCCTGCCCTTTGGCCAGGACTGCACAACATACGGCCCGCGGGCCTACAGTCAGTCTTACGCCCTACCTGCCTGCCCTTTGGCCAGGACTGCACAACATACGGCCCGCGGGCCTACAGTCAGTCTTACGCCCTACCTGCCTGCCCTTTGGCCAGGACTGCACAACATACGGCCCGCCAAAATCCACTTTGCGGCATGCGAAGTAACAAAATATTCTTTTTTTATTTTCTTAATAGCTTTCCCCCATATCCTAGTCTCTTTCGGCCCGCACAACTTGTTCATAAAGTCTTACAGGTCTGCCTTACAGGTCTGCCTTACAGGTCTGCCTTACAGGTCTGCCTTACAGGTCTGCCTTAGACAATAGTACTGCAGACAGTCCTATAGCCTAAATATCGGCCTTAAACAATAGTCCTACACACAGTCCTACACCCTACATACCAGCCTTAAAAAACAGTCCTACAGACAGTCCTACACCCTACATACCGGCCTTAACAGTCCTACACCCTAAATACCGGCCTTAACAGTCCTACAACCTACATACAGGCCTTAACAGTCCTACACCCCACATACCGGCCTTAAACAACAATCCTACAGACAGTCCTACACCCTACATACCGGCCTTAAACAATAGTCCTACAGACAGTCCTACACCCTACATACCGGCCTTAAACAATAGTCCTACAGACAGTCCTACACCCTACATACCGGCCGTAAACAATAGTCCTACAGACAGTCCTACACCCTACATACCGGCCGTAAACAATAGTCCTACAGAGCGTCCTACACAATCTCGTGGATCATTATTAATTAATTTAATAGTAGCCTCCTGCCTAAAGAAAAAATGAATTACACTCTTACACTGAGTTCAACCGTCACTCGTCACGCTCTCTGCGTGGAAATCTTTTTTTCTCCAGTCAGTACAATTGATGTAAATCATGCGGAGTTGTGGGAAGGGCGGTTTTGAAAAGGAAGCAGGACACACCAGGCGCAAAATAATACAGAAATCGATGTCATTAATCAGAGCCGTCGCGAGAGTCTTGCAAACCCTGTGACTTCAGGGGGCCCAAACTTGTGATGTAGGGGAACAAAACTAGTATCATTGAATGAAGGGGCAAAAAAAAAAAAAAGCTGCAGCACCCCCTTAAAATGTTACGAGACGGTTCCAGCTCTTCTGTTGGTCCGTTTGACAGAATGTTACATGGGGGCGGGATCTTACATGGGACGGGATGTTACACTGTACGGGATGTTACATGGGATAGAATGTTACACGGGATGGGATGTTACATGGGATAGAATGTTACATGAGATGGGATGTTACACGGGACGGGATGTTACACGGGACGGGATGTTACACGGGACGGGATGTTACAAGGGACGGGATGTTACATGGGGCGAGATGTTACATGGGGCGAGATGTTACATGGGATGGGATGTTACATGGGGTGGGATGTTACATGGGGTGGGATGTTACATGGTACGTTACATGCGGCGGGATGTTACACGGGTGGGATGTTACATGGGTCGGGATGTTACACGGGTGGGATGTTACATGGGTCGGGATGTTACATGGGACGGGATGTTCCATGGGACGGGATGTTCCATGGGACGGGATGTTCCATGGGACGGGATGTTCCATGGGACGGGATGTTACATGGGACGGGATGTTACATGGGACGGGATGTTACATGGGACGGGATGTTACATGGGACGGGATGTTACATGGGACCGGATGTTACATGGGACCGGATGTTACATGGCTGGGATGTTACATGGCTGGGATGTTACATGGGACGGGATGTTACATGGGACGGGATGTTACATGGGACGGGATGTT